TCGGTTCTGGGAGAGGGAGATGAAAGGGGAGAGGGAGATGGCGAGTTTGTCGGACATCAGTCCCCTCTCCCATTGCCTTCTCACCCTGCGGCCTTCCCTCGCTCTGCCCATGTGAGCTAGAGTTCAAACACAGGGCCCACAGCTGCTCTCACACACACACACACATACACATAACTGCAATATACAGGCAGACACAGACACTACTTGCAGGAAGGTATCTGCGTACCCAACAGTTGACAGGCAAACACATACACACAGTCACACACACAAACAGACATGCGCAGGCAGTGCCTTTCGGTGCATGCTGAAAAAACAAAAACAAGAGACAACACTAGACAAATAAAAAGGTGTATTGCCCAGCACACAATAATGAACATTAATCTCTGACAGGGTGTGTATGTGAGGACAACAAATACAAGAACGAACCATATCTGTTTAGGAAGAGAGTACAAAATGTGAAGCTTATTGACTCAGTGTGCTTGTAATAAACACGACAAATCACCTCGTGCAATACCACTAGATAATTTACAGAGATCATACATTCAAAAAGTTCCTGAGAAACAGCCATAAAAATTGATTAAGTGTGATTAGACAATTCAATTGCAGTTAATCTGGGGAAGCGAACCATGTGAACAAAAGCTCTTTTAACTTTATGATACATAGTGCATCAATTTGCGTGGATAGACACAGCAAATATATACATAAATACATACCTACAAGAAAAAACTGCAGCACGACTTTACTGCTTGAGCGATGGACCTTTTTTTTATTTTCAGCACCTGTAACCCTGTTACTCACATTCAGCCTAGACTAGAGCATCTAGATCAGAAATAACATCAGTGTCAGGGTTCAAGTTGTCAGGCCCAACAAACAAAGCCGCCCTTGTTGTGGTCAGCGAGAGATGCTTGTTACCGTTCAGTGTTGTGTCTGTTCAATTGTATTTCGTCCTGATCAGTTACAATAATTCTATTTCAACGACATCAAGTGACATCAGAGCGCATTGATTGGTTTGGTTGACATACTAACCTACATGGACACCAAAAGTGTCCACCATTCATCTGAATGTGGATATGCATTGATATTCAATGGAGGAGAGATGGGGACTTGATGGGATTCAGTTTGAATGGATGTCTGGATGACGGGACATGCAGAGTTTGTGTTTGTCAGGTTATGGAATGTTGTTGCCTCTTGTGATTTTTTTAAAGCATAGCAAAAGTAAAACATTTTAAAGGTTGATAATAAAAAAATTGGATACTGAATGTATTCTGGCATGAATTTATCTTTACATGTTTTACTTTTTTTGCAAGTATGCAGAACCTTTATATTCTGTGTGTGTGTGTGTGTGTGTGTGTGTGTGTGTGTGTGTGTGTGTGTGTGTGTGTGTGTGTGTTATTGGATTTCTTCTCATCTTAGCTTTAATTCTTTGGCCAAAGAAAATGATAATTCCCATTGTTTATAACACAAGATAGTGCACAAAAACATTGCATAAACAGTGCGCTATTTCAGACAACAGACAAACAAAGTGTATCTTTTCATAGAGCATTACAAATCATGTCATCATCTTTAAAGAATAATAACAACAATATTAAAACATCTATCCAAATGATAAGTGCAGGCTTAATGGAGCTTATACAGTCCAACAGGAGATCATCCACATCTAGACCCTGATGCTGTAGGAGGGAGTGCAGTTTTAGTCCGTATATATGAGAACCTGTCAGTTGAGCCTCTAAGAGCATCTTTGTCTTTTCTAGGTGGAGAAACTGCATAAGATCTCTAATCCACTGAATATGTGTCTTTTGCTTCTAGACAAACAAAAACTACTGAGTTAGCCTGTTGTTTGGATAAAGACGTGTCCTCTTGGACACCATAGTAGTTGTAGGGAGGGTCCAAACAGTTTACTGAATACCTCTGTAAATGTCCCAAAGACAGGAGTCCAATAAAGAAAGATGATCTTAATCTCAATAAAGAAACATAATAGATGCACAATGTATGCAGAGTGCTACCTGGCTTCCGATCATCACCTGGACACAATAAAATAAACACTTGTGTAATATAACGCATGCCAACCCAGTGGTGTACAAAATAACAGAAACGCCCTCTTGGATTCATTGTAACGTGTTTGACAGGTTTTCATGTCGTTGTGTCAAACTCTTGGAAAGCACGTTGCCGGGCTCGTCCTTCTCCCTAAGACGGCTCTCTTTGGCCCAAAATATTTTTGGAATCTGTAATCGTACACCCCTGATGCAGCGACGGGTCAGACAGGTGAGAACGAAGCACAGATGGTCCGAAAAGTTTGCAGGACAAGTTGTCACTTATGAAAGAAGGGCATGTCTGAAATGGGGTTTTTCCACAGCTAAATGTGAGGACAATGTCCCGCCCTGACTGTAAGAGAGGCTTGTTTAAATGTCGGAGTGAGAGCGAAGCGGATTCAAGCGTAGCAGAATCAGAGGCAGCTGATTAATAAAAAAAATTAAAATAAGACACTGGGAGCACACAGATTTAGAAATAAAGACAGAAGTGAAGAAAATGGACACAAAGGGACCAAGCTTGAAAAAAGTGGTAAAACAGTAACAGAGCTCAGTGGTGCACTAATGCCTTAGGGGAAGAAGATGTGACATGCGAAGAGGAATTGGAGGAGTTTAAATCCCAGGAGAGAGACGGAGGGATGGAAAGGTCGAGAAGATGGTGGACGCACACTGTCACACACACACATCCCATAATTAGCATGCTAACAGGCAGTTAAATGCCCCACACAAAGGCTCACTGTTGAGCCTCGGTTGCTCACTTCGGAGACAATGCACAATGGGAGTCAGTGGGAGCCCCCAAATCACCCTAATAGCCGACGTGGCCCAGCATGGCTTCTCCTATTTTACCATTCCACCGATCACAGTCATTCACTCACTCACTTACCGGCTAATGAAAAGCCGATAGCCTGGAGGCCTGCGGTCACTGAGCAGCTTGCCCCTTCCTCCTCATTTCCCTCTTTTCATCTTTTTCCTCCACCGACAGAAGTGCCTCTCCAGTTCTCCTCAGGTTCAGAGGTCCAGTGTGTGGGCATGGGAACAGCGAGGAGCTGACAAGACAGGGATGGAGGATATGTAATTAAAGGAAGATCAAGACAGGACAAACCTGAAAGGGGAAGTCTCTTGTTTGCCTGAAACTGAGGAGTTTTAACTTGATTAAAATCTGGACAGAAATGATTTAATTATGGGGGAAAATGGAGATACTTTGCATATTGATGTCAGGAAAGTACCCCAGCAAACACAGCTATGAGAGCTTTTTGTCAAAATGCAGTGCTGATATCCTCACAATGTCAGAGGTCAGGACATGCAATGAGCTGCTCCGTATGTTGATGCACCCCGAAGCACATTTCATATAAGCTGCAATGAGCCTGGTTCTGTCTGCAATGAGGGTAAGCCTCACTGAACCCTCTGTGAAATTCCTTAGGAGTCTTTATTTCAAGCAGCACCTGAGATTTGCAGTGGAATTACTGCACACGTGCCAAATCCCCCCCCCCCAATTCCCCCCCGATAGATGCTTCTGATCTACCTGTCAACAAGTCTAATGTTCAGAGGTTTTGGTGTCTTCAGTGTCGCTCTCAAATTCTTCCCTTTCTTCCTTTGCTTCTTCTGCTCAAAGTAACTAAAGTTTAGAAACGGAGCGAGAATCTGTAAGTCCACAACATCTCAACCGTGGAGATACGTCTACAATGTCCACAGCTGCTTCTCGTGAAACTAAATGTACACAAATCCTAACTTTAAAAAATATTCTCATCATACAATCCCCTCTGAGTTAAAATACAAAATAAGTCCATAGATTTCATACCCACATACTGTAGTTTGCTTGTGTCCTATTATATTTTCTGCTATTTTAAATCATCTAAAAAAGCTACAAAGAAATTCTGACCTTATTACTGAAACCGGCCAGCAGGTGGTCACAGACCTCCACTGCACAAACTGTTCGCCACATTCATTTTGCAGACCACAGCCTTGATGACCAGTGAATCATAAAGTCATCAGATCTGGACAGTTTGGAAGCCTCTGAGACTAGAGTCCAAATGAGAAGTCTTACATGTCCCAGGCAGGGATTGTTTACATTGTTTGTGTCTTGCTTTTGACCAACACTACCTCGTAAACACTTGTTAAAGAGCTGCGTTAAAAGTGAAGGTGTCCCTCTGAACCGGGCCAGCCGTACAGTTGTGTTGCATGTGTGAGTAACTGTGGCTGTATTGCAGAAAATCCGCTAAAAAGGCTCCATTAATGTAGTTTGAATAGAAGAGTGATGTGCACCCGATTGCTTCTTCCAGGGATGTGGAGCTTAGAATTTTTTATTTTTAAATACCATAGGAAAGGCAGCACCTCGCTAGAATAAAATGCAATAATTTATAGAAAATATCATTTCTCTAAAAGTAGGTGGAGCACACCTGTTCTTCTAGCTATACACGATTAGCTGATTGGCTAATTGGCACCAGGTGTGGTGTTTTAATCAATTCTGTGCCACTTTTAGAAATATAAGTCAGATCAGTTCAGCATCAGCCATCTGCAGTGTTTATTGAGAATTCATCAGGGCGCCATTATGTTGTGCCTCGTGAGATACCACAGCAATGCCCCCCAGTGTAAGCAGTCAGCCCTTCCTCCTCATTCACAATGTCCTTTAGCTTTCATACCAACACACACAACAGCTCAAAACGAATCCAATTTGTGTTCTATGGGGTATTAGTTATCATCTTAATGTGTGTTTTTTTTTAGAAACATTCTTGAGTTTAGACTTCATGATGCAGGTTTGAACTCCTATGCTGCTTCCATGGTACACCGCTAGAGGGAACACGTGGTTCAGTGTATTCTGCTGAACTTCTCCACAATAGAAATGGCTGCAGAGGCATCTAGTGGCTGCTTTAGAAAAGAAAAATGTTTTATTTTTGCATTGCATGCATTTTATGTATCTTTAACCAGGTTTCCAAAAGGAGAAACGACCAGAATTATATACATATTTATTTGCGACATCAAAATGTATACAAGGAAGAATAAAGTGCTTTGTACGTGAGTTTGTTTTTCTTCTCATCTTATTTCAGTTAGGACAGCAGTTTGCTTAGTGCGTCTTTATCACTAGAATTATACGAAGCAGCAAGCACAGATAGCAAAATAATCTCTCTGCTACACAACATGGCATTTACAGTGGGGTGTTTTCCTGCACTTAAGTCGGCTCCCCTTCTGTTCCCATGTTGAAATATGAAGTATACTTATACAATCCAAAACCAACATTACAACAATATCGTTATACACCGCCAGTCCAAACGTTTTGAGTATTGTATTTTATTATGTTGGGTTGATTCCAAGCAATTTTATGGTAATCATTATGAATTACCTCAAATTAGATAATAAAAGTAATAAAGACAGTCAGCTGTGTACCTTTTTATTTAGGGATTGGGTCAATTAAACATACTGCTTTGTATATTTGTTACTTTTAATTCTGAAGCTGTCTACATACGTTTTAACAGCTGCGTCTAATGAAGCACTAATTAGGATCTGGGCCATAGGTCCTTGTCACAGCAGGAATCACACAGGTGGAACTAATGACCCTAACGACGGCTCCTTTAGGTGTCTCAATAAAACATGTAGCAGTGAGCCAGTATCTACGCACAGGGCATGCAGACATTTCAATAAATGCTTAAGATTCAAAACCAAGTTTTCAAGGAGCTTCAAAAATAAACTTTAAAGTTTGGACATATTCATACAGTACAGCTGTCTGTCACAAGTGCCTCCTTATAGTTATCTACGTTACTTAAAAGTACTTCTAACAGTTATTTCTATCACATTTATGAATACATTGCTTCAGAGAAAACTTTAAATGTAACATGGTCTTTTTTTTTTTGGCTGGCAGTGAATGTTATTAATGTGTTCCTAGATGTTTAGCAAGTATCGCAATGAAAACTTCTTACTGCAGTCAGTCTCTCACGGCCATATTGATTGATTGAAAACACTTAAAGCAATAAAACCAGCAAAAAAAACAATAAAAGTCAACAATAAGAGTTGCAGTATCATCCGGTGCAGCAGGTCGACTGTTAGCTGCGCGACTCTATCTAAATACGTCAGTACTTTCATATTTAATAGTCTAACAGAAGTTAAACATTTGTTGGTTTCACTTCAGTTTGAACTACCAGATGGAAGAAAGGGCCACATTTGATTATACTGTCAGTAAAATGATGTTATATTGTAGGTACCACCTGCTTCTCCTTGTATGCTGAACCTGCTCCTGCAAAAATGAGGGCATCTGTTTTATTAAATGTAAATACTGTTTACTTCACTGCAATTTACCTGACATATACTTGACTGTATCTCCACTGCCCCAAGACACTGTACTCCTCATCCTTTATCTTTTTGTTTCCTGTTGTGCTTCATAGTGGCTTTACATCTTTCTGCCATCAAAGACAATGTGTACACTTTAGGCCGCATGCACCCCAGTTTCCAAGTGATAAATTGGAGGTGCTCTGTGTTTTGCTCCCCTACTCCAGAACCTTTGGTGACCAACAGCAGCACAAACACGACTTTTAAATGCAGTGCTGTCTTCCTAAATCGCAATAAATCAAGACATTTAAAAAGTCTTAATCAAATTCAGAAAAATACTTCTCCTGCTACTCTCAGTGATTGCACTGAGAATGATGTTGGGAGTGTACTGCACAGCAAAATCAACAATAGTTTCTCACTAAATAATTTTATGAAAAGATTTAACAAAACAGGTACTCTCACAAATAAGAAAATAACAAAAATAACAAAAAAGTTGACTTTGCAGGGAACAATTGCAGGCATGAACAAAATGGAGATTATCAAGCATAAATTGAAACAGTTCATCTTAAAAAGTCACCATTTAAGTCTTGAGCTCAATCCTCTTTGAAAAGGAAGAGAATCACCTGCAAACTGCTATTGCTTTCATCAAATCTCTTGTTTACGTTCACAAAAAAATGAAATTCTTAAATGAAGTAGAATCTCGAACTGGGCCAATGTACAAACAGTGCAAAACACGACTTAAGTTTCTTTTACTGCCATTGTGCTTTCCTTTGGTTGTGAAATCTTATAAAAGTCCGTCTGTGCTTTGTCAGAGATCCTTTGTCCTCCTCCAGAATCGGTCTGGTTGATCATTATGTCTCTTCAAGGAGTGCAGTTGCATGTGCCCAAAGTTATTTAGTAATGTGTGCTCTGTTTCGTCATTTCTAATCTCATTGAGAAGAAAAAACAAACAAATATAAATGTGAAACAACACAGACAAGGCAAAAGGGGGTTTCATTTCTGGACATGCAAATACAAATTTCACTAAGCATACCCTACTCAGGTCCAAGTCACTGTAGAAGAAGTTGAAAGGATTTATGGGTGAAATAACAGAGGAACACAAGACGATCTTTAGATGTCTTGCTCACTCTTATAGGACACTGGGTCAAGAGGGATGGCAGTCTGTAGGATGTCAAACTCCATCTGGTTGTTGTCCATGTCCAGAACACACATGACGCTGTGACTGCCTGTTGTCATGGTCGTTGTTTCCTGGAACATATTTTGGAAGTCTACAGACACTGATGTCCTACTCTCCTCCGCCTTCTCCTTCTCCACAATCTGGGAGTCGAAGATGTCATCCTCGTCCTCCCCGCAGCTCAGCGCCACTTCGTTCTCGTAACAAAAGGCGCTCAGCGATCTGGGAATCAAGTCTTGGGTGGATCTGTAGACCGGGACGGGAGAAGTGGCAGAAGATGCCCGGCCGGCGACCTGGTTGAGCTCTTTGGCGCTGAGGTGGGGCATTGACGGCACTTCGTAGGTCTTGTGGAAGCGAGCGTAGTCTACCTTGTAGCGGTCCTGGTCCTCAAAGATCACAGACTCAAACCTGTGACCCCAGAAGACCTCTCTGGCAAGGTAGGAGCTACGGAACTGGGTGGTCATGGCCGTGGCCTCCACCATCCCCTCCAAGATCACGACAATCTCAAAGTCATCTGCCTCCAGATCAGCTCGGCTTAGAGTGTACAAGGGGCTGTCTTTATTTATCTCGTGGATTACAACCAGCGGGGATACTAGAAACAGTCTGTCCGTGCCCTCATCGTAGCCCACATTGAGGTCCATCTGCTCCAAGGGGATGAACTCTCCCTCAGCTGTGACGTAAGAACGTATGAGCTGGGCACGGACATGAGCCTCCACGATGTGGCTCTTCCGCAGGTTGCCTACCCTCCACATGAGGCACAGCTTGCCATCGCGCAGGGCAATGACCGCATTCTTGGAGAACACAAGGGTCTGGTTCCTCTTCTTGGGCCGCGCCATCTTGGCCATGATGGTGCCAATCATGAAAGAGTCAATGATGCAGCCCACAATGGACTGGACCACCACTGTTATCACAGTGAGAGGACACTCCTCGGTAACGCAGCGCCAGCCGTAACCAATGGTGGTCTGGGTCTCCATGGAGAACAGGAGCGCCCCGACAAAGCCGCGGACATGGAGTATGCAGGGCATCCTTTGTGTCGGCCCTCCAGATGTGTGTCCAGAGGTGGGCCCGTGCAGCCCCGCCACCGCCACCGCCAGCTCGTCGCCCTTTCCAGGCGGTTGTTCGTCAAAGTCCCCATGCACCAGGGAGACGCTGTAGAAGATGATGCCGAAGAAAAGCCACGAGACGAGGAAGCTGGCGCAGAACATAAGCAGCAGGTATCTCCAGCGGATGTCCACGCAGGTGGTGAAGATGTCAGCTAGGTAGCGCTGCCTCTTTTCATCCATGTTGGTGAACAGAACATTACATTGTCCATTCTTCTTTACAAACCGACTCCGTACTTGGCTGGAGCCCCTTGTCAGAATCTTCCCGTTGTAGTTGTTCATCCCTGCTCGTCCCCTTGTGCTGTGCACGGCAGCAGAGGCTCCCGACCTCCTCCTACTGTCTTCTGCCTCTGCGTGGCAGGGCGAGTGCAGTCGTTTGTTGAGGGAACTGTGGCCGTTATGGAGCCCTGAGCTGGAGATCTTCTGGCGTGCCTCCTCCGGTAAAACGTCTGACACAATGCCGTACCTGTCAGGCCAACAGAGAGGAAAGTTAGTATCTGTATCATTCAAATTGTAGTGTGCACAAAATGTAGGAACAATTTATAGCTAGTAATCTCACTGATCCCTGTGTACTTCCTAGTGTACCATTTAAAGCACACAAAGACACAATGCACCCTCTCATAGACAGCGACAAGAAGATAATACCTGACTCATCAGGGACACAAGGGTCGGCAGCAGTATATAGGAAACCGCCCCACAGTTTAGGGGGAAACTCCTCAATGAACACAGTCATAAAAGATATATTTAATTCCCAATCCCAACCTACTCAAATCGACCAAACTCCCGGTCACCTGAGTGTATCGATCAACCTAACCTGTCTCTCTCCTTTACATGGAGGATTACCATGCAGCTGGGAAGGTGAGTTCAGTTTAGCTACGTGAGAAGGATTGCAGGTCATCACAGATTACAGGATTATATCTGAGTCAGTGTCAGTCAGACAACCCGTTTTGAGATGAACCAACATATATGTTACCCGTTATATATAGATGAATGTCAACGCCATCATTTAATCATTCATGAACTCACTTATAACAAGAGATCAGATGTTTGAAGATGTTTGAGAGTCTTTGTCTTGCATACATTTCCTCCATGAAATCAATCTTTATTGTTCCTTGAAGGGAGATTTTACGTGGGCTTTAAAACACCACAAAAACAGTTTGCGATCTGTTGCAGCTGGCTGAAGGCAGGAGCTGGTCAGGACAGTGTAGGACGGCCTTGGCCTCTCTGAGGATGTGCTTGCTGTAAATATCCCTGAGCCGGGCCTGACTCACCCCGACTAGATCACCAAATTAGCAAGCCCATTCTTACCGGCCGTGTTAAGAGTACGTTACCAAAGGAACAAATAGTTTCTGTAAAGTTGTGACGCCCTTTGAAACTGTAACTCCCACACAAATTTAATTGATTAATACATATAACAAAGATAAAATAAAGGCATCATGTCCAATCAGAGCCACTGTTTGAAACAAAGTAGTTCCAGGATAATTCTAATATATAAAAATTGTGCAGTAACACCAAACACAAGATTCACACTCTGCTGTGAATTGGCGCTTTGCCACCCTTATGTCTCATTTCTTTGTCATTTTGGACAGATGTTCAACTGACTTCAGTGATCTCGGTAGCAAAGGAAAAGTAACAGAGGAATGCTGGAATTCAAGAGCTGATTCAGGCCTTTATAAAAACTAACAAGGACTTGATAAAATGAAGAATTAGTAGCACAATTGGCAGCTGAGGATTGAATCGTTCACCTGTTGAACCTACTTGTTCCCATGGCACCAGTGGTCTCTGGTACGGGTCCTGGTGGGGAGGCCAGAATCTGTCCTGCTCCCAAAAGTCAGGTCACCACCATGGAGGTGATGCTTGTACCACTGAGAAGATCACTGCAGAGGAGAGAGACAGGGAGTAACAGAATCAGTGCCTATCGGTTCATGTAGAATCACCATTATCTAATTAATTGGGGGTTTAACTCGTGAAGGTACAGAAAGCTTTTGACTGAGGGAGGCACACTTTAATAACTGAAAAACATTACCTTCTTTCACTTTTATGAAAACCTATAACCTTACATGGTTTCATCTCTTTATATAATGTGGCTCTGTGTTTCTAGTCTGCTTTATGTGAGCTAAAGATGTGGAAGATTAGATTCTGCAGAGTGTCTTGAGGAACGGCGACCGCACTCTTGAGAACAGAGTTGTAATGTCGTATGTGGGTGTAAGTGGCGGTTTTACATTTCACCTACATGATGGACACATCTGGTATTCATAATTATAGACAAACCAAAGTGTTTATTTTGGTTACATCGTAAGGAAACATCTCAAGCAGTCTATTGTGCTTAAACCGAAAGATTAAGCTCATATGTGCACTTCTTACTCACACACAGAGAAACCAGTAAACAATACACTCTACTAAAGGATTTATTGAAATGCTCTTGTTGGCAGCTTTGTTTCTTTCTCTACACCTTAAAACAATCTAGTTTAGAGATTCAGAGTCAAAATGTGCATCACATTCAAACTCATTTACATGCTGTTCACATGGGATTTTATTTCCTATAAATCTGGGATATTAGTCGGATAATTCTGTGGGATAATTCTGTCAAAAACTGTCTGTCCAAAAATACAAAGAACATCCTGTCACGTAATCTTTCCTTTATAAAACCTGTGCTGTAAAGCAGATAGTAAATCCAAGCTGACGCCTGCAGTGGTAGCTGTTTCTTTCTTTCTTTATGTATTAAATGCATTTTTAAGGGAACGAATAAGCTCAATGTAAAATGACTGAACATCATGAAGAGAGGAGGATCTGTACCTTTTATTTTTCTGCAATGACATCCATATCTGTATTGATACGTGTACAGGATTGTATTTTCATGTTTGGTTTTTGGTCTGTCTCCTGATGCAGCTGTGAAATAATATCCCCCAACCTCCAAGCTGTATCTATTAAAGGAGAATGCAACCAGCTCCCCATCCATCATCAGTGGTGTCTCCCTCTAGGTGCAAAGATTTGATACCCTGTAATGAGGCCGGGAGAGGCAGAGCGCAGGTATATGAGACACACACAATACAGACCAGTTAGTGGTCACCATGCAGGTAAAACTGGGACTTCCAGTGAAGCCGGTTTCCATAGGAACACGTCTCCATGTGGCATTTGGGGGACGGAGAGAGCATGTGGAGAGAGTCACCAGAGGACATTGTGGCGAAAAGGGGGCGAGTATAGAGTATTTAAGTGCTCTTATAACATGAGTCAGAGAGAGAGGGAGAGAGGGGATGAGAGAAAGTGCAGCAATGTCTGCATTGAACGTTAAGTAGATTCTAAATGAGGGCCAAGAGGTGACTCTTAGTGGAGACTTTTTTTTTGATCCATATTACTGAGTGACAATGAAGACGAGGATAAAAGATATCTGTGGTCAAAGACGGGTCAAAACAGCGTTCTCGAAAAGCTTTTATGTTTTGCTCTATCCTATTTATCTTCCTAATGGTCTACCAAGGACACTGAGGGCAAGAGGAGTTCATTAATTACAGAAAGAACTGAAGAATTGTTTACACAGTTTACATCTCTGTGATCATTACCGTCGATTGTAAATCTAGTCTAGGGATATAGAAAGCGGTGGAAATGAATAGAAGGATAAAGTATGTTGAGATGTAGCAAATATACAGGATTGTGATATGATTAGTGGAGTGTTGAGTGACTTGCTTCTTCCAAAATCTAATTTGGAGTGTTACTTGAACAAAAATATTTCTTTCACATTTTCTGTTATTTTATAAACTAAGAAAAGTTTCTATTGATTGAAGAAGCAATCGCCAGTTGCAGTCCTGTTTCTGTGTCTCTGTATGAAATATACTTACTCGTGTCCCGCCTTTGCAACCACACTCATTAGTGTTTACACGTGTGGAAGTATTTCACCGTGTCTCTGCGTCACTAACTCCTCCCTAATCTCATGAATTCACAGATGAATACTCATAATCTGTCGTGCTGAAATAAGAAAGGTGGAGTCACTTCCTGGAAATTTCATGACTGTTAATCCCAAAAGAGATGGAAGACGAAGAAAAGAAGGTTAGGTGGGGGGGGGGGGGGGATTAAGATGCAGTGTCCACTTCCCCCTAAAGCCTTCGGTAATCGCCCCTCATGAGACGCACTATTACAGCTGCCACAAAAATAAATTGCACTTCTGTTGTGAATACCTGAACGTTATGGTCTGGCAGATATGGCGGCTGTAGTGGAGTAACTATTGGTCAGAGTCGTTTTTCATGATATGCTGGTCGTAACTGGTCATAGAAAAGATCAATTTAGCCTCACTGTCTGTGAAAGGTTTGTACGAAATGACCCGATGCATTCAAAGGCAATTTATGTAACATTAACATGTTTGTTTTTTCTGAATCTGACTGTCAAGATGATTGTTTATAACTACCGGCAGAATGATCTTGTTATATCAATTCCGTCCATCAATGGAAGCACGTTTGCAAAACATTAGTGATGTAATCCACCCAAGTGGGACTGTGTGTGACTGTTTTGAGTCAGTCGATCAATTCCACTGAGCAGGTTCACTTTACGTCCTCCTTATTTTCTTTTGTAGAACTGGCTCGTGTGACGTGAACACTGAGCGATACATAACCCATGGTTTCACCTCTGCTCGTCACGAGCCAACCCACAGAGAAGAATGATTCCCACGCTACCAACGCATCTCAGACAACCTCCGTGCTGGCCTCATTTCAGATTTCTCTTTTTCCCATGTTGTCCATTTTTAATCTTTGCAAAACATATTGTATTTCAAAGTTCATGTGATAGATCAGGTACAATATGTGCAACTGTAATTGATCCACTGAAAGGGAACATTTATGACACTTAAGCACAGTTAAGGAACATTTATTTGCATTTAATTTAAAGGTGAAAGTCTTTCTTTCTCAGAAGTGTCGGTCTGCATTTCCATCTGCAGAGCTGAATGATCTGACCCTGATCCTGAATGTTTGTTTACTAGACACACAGACAGAGAAAGGCTGCCACAATTACAGCTAATCAGCAGCAGCGGCACACTGACTGTCTACAGTAGATCAGCCAATACCTGTCACCTGTAGGTACACACAGTGCTGCTGCTGGTCAATTTTTGGGTTTAAATCTATTTATTTATCTTAACAGTCCTGCTCGATGCTGTTTTCATGAGGTTGTCCGAATAAAAGACAAGATTAGGTCAGAGCCATGTGATTAATGCAAGATAAATCAATAACTTTCTCCTCAACCATCTTTATTCTAACTGAAAAGATCACTATATGCCCAGGTTCCCCTGTGATAGACTTATGTACGGGATGCTTTGCTTTTTTTAGTGAATTAAAGGTTTTGTTAAGGCTTTTATTGTGATTTTCTTTTTTGTTGTTGTATTGATCCAAGCCACAAGCTGATCATTTATAGCTATCTGTGTTCCCTCTCTCCCTTTACTCATTCGTGATGACCTTTCCATTCCTTTCTTAAGGTTGCAGAAGCCGAGATTTCTCTCCACTTTGACTTTAAGATGCACAAAATGAATACTAACCGACAGAATTGTCTAAAATTTGAAAACCAAGGAGAGTTCTCGAGGCATTACAAAGTTAAAGTTAATCAACAGGTGCACACCAGTTCCTCAAGGTATGAAGACCTAAGGATGGAGAAGAGTGACTGTTCATGTGACAACACACACACACACACACACACACACACACACACACACACAATACAGTAGTTTCCATGATGCCTGAGCTTCAGTCTGTCTGACAGTGCTTATATATAATAACTGTTACAGAGTGTACTGTCTGACGGTAAAACTAGAACTGCTCTTAATGTCTGTCATCTGGAGTGCAAAGTTGTGACCAATAAAAAAAACTTCATCCAGCAAAGTTATTATTCTGCACGTCTCCTGACACTGAAATACGAATTGAACATAAATGACACTCACCCTGCAAGTTAGTTGTTGTGTTCTGTCACTGGGTTGTAATTTGAGACCCTCGTACTTCACTTCTCAAAAATCCCACTTTCAATGTCCAAGGCAAAAAGCTCCCACATCCTTAGATTGATGTGGTCTGTGAGATTCTCTCTCCTTTCTTCACTCTCTCTCTCTCTCTTAGTTTCCTCTGCATCGCTTGTTCATTCTTTCATCCCTGTTGCTTCCCTCATTGAATCCGTTATTGTCCTCTGCTGCCTCCTCCGCTGACTATAATCCCGTCTGTGCCGCGCTCTCTGTGTACTCGTACACCCGGTGCTGAAAATGCTGTGTCAATCTCCCCTCTGGGAGGGAGGGAAGGAGGGAGGGAAGGAGGGAGGGAGGGAGGGATGAAGGAGGACAGGAAAAAAAGAAGAGAAATGGATCAATTAAAGGGAAAGAGAGCAAAAGAGAGGAGACTACAGGGGGGGCTGGCACTTTGTCTGTGCGCTCTCAGCATGTGTAGGTGTTGAACATTGCCTGTAGTGCCCATGTAAGCAAGCGAGAGCTCGTTTGAGTCATGGTTTCTAGGCCGACTCTCTTCGAGGAACAACAGAGATGATACAGCAACAGGTGAGAGACAAAAGGAATACGGGGGCTTGGAAATACAGCGGTCGAGTCGCCGTCATAGTTTGAAAACTGTGAACCACCACACATACAATGACACAGGCCTGTTACTGTAAACACAATCCTGGTCACATCAAAACTCCACAGCTCTGTCGACACACGTGAGATGTTGCAGTAGGCTTCCTCTCACGTACTGTGGTCGTTCCATAATGGATGAAAAGTGGGAAGGTTATTCTTTGGTGACCCTTTGACTTGCACAGGGTCAATGCGACCCGGGACTGTGCAGATCTTCTGGACGGGGAACGACGTTCGAGGGCTGTGTGAGCTTGAAGTGTCTTTGAGTCAACCTCGTGGTTTCAGCTGTCAAATATAATGAATTATTCAACTTGATGATGGAGGACTGAGTCTGTGGACTATAGCTGCATTCACTGTTGGGCTGAGTGGTTGTTGAACATGTTATGCCTTTAGGGAGAGCAGAGAGATGACAGGAAGTGAGGGGAGTCAGAGAAATGGGAGTGACATGCATCAAGGGTACCGGGTCATATGCAGGCCGGTGAAGGGACAGGGCCTTAACTCCCATAGGCCACCTGGGCATCCCGTCAACTGTAAATGATGGGAGTGAAATTTAAAATCTTTACCTCAATACTGTACTTACGTGACCGTATGGGAGTAAATTTTGGCTTTTTGGCTCTGAAATTAACACATATGAATTCTTTACTTTTCTATTACCATCAGAGGTTTTTATACATAGTGTAAGCAAACCTCAAAACCCCCTTTAACAGGGTTAGGGTTGTTCTATTCTGGTGCTCTCACAGCCGTTCTGCTGGCGAATGAAGATTGACACAGTCTCACTATTCTCAATAGAGAGACCAAAAGAGGCTTTTTCTAGTTTGATTGAGGATTCCTTCATCCAGAATCCACATGACTATTATGAAATATGAATTGAGCAAAACAGTTTCTATGGAAACCGCCCCCATCCCCTCCGGCCCTCACCCACATCTCCCGTTTTGTCCCCTCATTGCTCCCTCCCTCGTGCACTCCTTCCTTCCCTTTCTAAAATATAGGGCACCTCTTTTCAAAATCTCTCCCTCTACATAGAGATGTGGGTGTGCATCTGCCCATATGAGGAATTCACAGAGGAGGAACGAGGGGGCGGACGGACACACGGCACTGTAACGGCAACAGTGGAGGCAAACAGAAAACATACGGACGGAGGGAGCTTCTGATGGTAACACGTACACCATGAAGGAAACGACTCTTGTGAAAGAAGTCTGCTAGAGTTCTACTATTGAAGATGACATGACGAGAAACATGACAGGGGCCATGTGAGAGTGAAATTAGACTATTTCAGTAGCGTTTTAGGCTTTCACACACATAATGGGAGAGAATAAAGCAATTGCAACTCTCAAGGACTGCGACCACACATCAGGTCAGACCACCAAATTACATCTTAACATGAATGATGGGTACAGCAGGTTAACCATATAAACAGTAGACCATGTTATTGAGCATTTCTCTGACTTATTTCTTGAATTTCTGATCAAGTAAAGTTGGAAAAAAAAGTGAGAAGGCTATGTTATGAGTTTTTTATTATCCTGCTACCCATTGAATAATTATAACAATAATTTGTCATTGTTACATTGATAAATAGGTTTCTGATATAAATCCAAACTATGTAAAAGTCAAACTGAGATGTTTCAAAGCCTTAAATACGTCTTGGATTGTAGAGAATATATAGGTTTGGAAAATTGTGATGATGCTGAAGCTTTAAAAGGAGACTCCTAGTGATTATGTTGAACTCTGCATGACTATAAAAATGATTGCACCATATTCATTACCTTTAGCCTTTACCGGCTGTAGTGTCAGCGCTCACAGCTGAGCGGAGTATTCGCCACAGAGGTTTGGTGGTTTTGAAAAGACACTAAATGACCATAACAGTAAAAACAAACAAAAGATGGGCTGTGTATGATGGGAGAAAAGGAGGAGGTGGAGGGTTGCAGACAGACCGATCAGACGGTCACTCAGATCATCATCTGACGAGGAGATGACCATGCAGACTGGACTGTGTGTGTGTGTGTATAAATAGCAACTAATCAGGCCTGGGTGTCAGATTAGTTCCCATAACCTTTTGCTCAGCAGATACTCATTAACGTAGCCTAGTGTGGGTCAGCTCGGTCCAGAGGATGTCCTTTACAGTACCTTTGTAGGAGACTAATAAAGCATCTCTTTATTGCATATGTTGTATACAATTGTTTGTTTCTTCTTCTTGCCCCCCTCTCCATTGCTCATTTATCACTCTTAACGTCTGATTTATAGCTTTCACGTAATATGAACAGGTCTGCTTGAGAATGATACTCAACTTGAAGAACCTGTTGACAGAGAACGGCACCAGGCTCTGTACAGGATGCTTCAGGGGTGTACACAGGAGCTGCGTGTGCTCTCAGTTGGTACGTGGCGCCCCCTCACTTCTCTGCACCACCACGGATGCATTCTATGTAGGCCGAAAGCATTTCCTCTGGCGGCCTGTGCTGATTTCACTGCATCAAACATAGGAGTAGGATGTAGGGGAGCAGGACGTGTGCGATGCCAGAATCCAGCTGCACTTTGTGGGTTAAGAGGGAGGACGAAGGAGGCGGTGGAGACGGTGGGATTTGATACGAAGGGAGACACAGAGTGGTTTTAGGTTTTCACTGTGACTCAGACAGCAGAATTAGGAGGAAAGGGAGCGGAAGTGCCAGAAGACGGGGAAGACAGAGAGGGTGAAGAGTATTTTAAAACACTGAAAAGCAAGAGTACAATGCTACAAGCCCTCACTGGGTAGAAGAAAGATTATGAGAGACGGTATTCTATTGCATAGGACAGAAAGAATTATGTTTGTTCTAAAGACTCATCTCAATTTAAATGAGAATAAGACAAATAGAAACAGCTTGTCACACAGCTGGAGAAGACTCGAAACGCTCTTCTCTGTGGGTGATGGGATGTTTTGGAATTACAATCTGTCACAAATAATTATTCATCATCTACTGTGAAACATGATTGCTAATGAAATCCACTAATGTAATCAGTTTGAATCATTTCAATATGATCTGATTACTACATTTTTGCATGTTATTAAACTGAATGAAGCGTGTCAACGTCTCAACCTGAAGACAGTAAATATTGGTGTGTGATTCATGTAGACCATCTGCCAGAGTTGATTAAGGAAGTAGGTGAGATAAGGCAATTTATTTGTGAAGCACATTTCACACACAAAGGCAATTCAAAGTGTTCCACATTAAACAGGAAATACAAATACAACTATGATACACAAATGAAAAGGATAGCAGCAATAAAAAAAATAAAGATAAAAACGCTAAATGAATATAAGGTAAAAATGTAAGTGCAACATGGATGAATGTTTAAGGTTCAGACATAAAAGCACAGGAGAAAATATCTACAGTGTATGAGATACAACTCCTTCGCTCTTGGGTTAAGAACTCATCATCTATTCACTATTGCGATCTGATGAAGGCATAAATCCCTCAAAATCACAACAATACATTCGACTACTTTAAGATCAACTGCATGTTTTATGTTGATGTTTTATTTTCCTCCTCCCAAAATTGTTCTAACTCCGTATTGCCTGCAGCCTGTCGCCATCTGTTGTTTAATCAGGCCTCTACTTTTTGAGGATGGCTCATAAACCAGTCAAATTCTATCATGTTACCATCAAGCCACATCGGAAAATGTGGGATTTTGCCCTCAAAGTAAAACGGTAACATCTTTTAAAATAACGAACTGTCTTATAATATTCATCATTGTAGTTTTTTTTTTTTTTAACCATACTCATGAAATAGGTCAACAGTATAGTGATTATCTCATCACCGGACTGCGTGTAAACGAATGTGGGTTTTACTTTGAAAAGTCAGAACCGGAAAAGGATACATGTGTTCGTTACCAGTTAGTTTGATGCTGCTTCCTGCAGTCTGAACTGTCAGCCACGTCACCTCCCCTGAAACAACTTTCCTCCGAGACACTCGCGTAGACATCTGAGTTAATGAGTGGACCATCTGCTCACCTGCGTGCGTGTAGGTACCGAACGGACTCGGAGTTCACTGCGCAGCTGCGAGCTTCTTTTTAGCTTATTATCTCTTCCTGTCACTTTGTGCACTCGCAGAGCGCTGAACATCTCTGCCCTGTGTCCGGGATTACGTGTAAGGCCTGTAAGGAGTTGTATTTACTTTTTTTATCGAAGCGGAACATAAACAAGATGAATATCTTTCGTCTGGCGGGGGACGTGTCACATCTGGTGGCTATCATCATCCTGCTGCTGAAGATATGGAGGTCCAAATCCTGTGCTGGTAGGCTGACACCAATGACATCACTGCACTTTCTAAGTTGCGCGTGGGATCGTGCAGCCTTACTTTGGCAATATGCATGCAGTTTGTGCAGCATTAGATGTATCAGTCATTCACAAATACACAGAGAAGTGTTGTTACTGTTATCAGTTAAGTTCATTATAGAGGGGGTTGTGCGTAATGCTGAGTGGTTCTGTAGGAGTGGAAGCGACGTGGCATGTTGACAGAGAAATCTGCTGCCTGCTCCACCTATTTTAGAGCAGCTTTATACCTGTATAACAAACTAAATCTGCAGTATGGCCGTCTCCTTTTGCTGCTAAATCATAAAATTGAGGGAATCATGACAATTCCTTCTCATGTCTGGGAGCTGTCCCGGACCACAGAGTGGGACAGACACACTGGACAGGGTTTAAACCTGTTTTTCCTCTCTTGGGACCAGAGAGTGGGACAGACACACTGGACAGGGTTTAAACCTGTTTTTCCTCTCTTCCTATCTCTGTAGGCATTTCTGGGAAGTCTCAGGTGCTGTTTGCGCTCGTCTTCACCACCAGGTACCTCGACTTGTTCACGGTCTTCATCTCTCCTTACAACACGGTCATGAAGGTAAGACACACACACACACACACACACACACACAGTGTTCACATCGGACTTTCATGGCCGATATATAATCAATATTCGTCTCTGCTGTCAGGTGGTGTTCCTGGCTCTGTCCTACGCTACCGTGTACCTGATCTACATGCGCTTCAGGAACAGCTACAACTCTGAGAATGACACGTTCCGCGTGGAGTTCCTGCTGGTGCCGGTCGTCGGGCTGTCCTTCCTGGAAAACTACGCGTTCACCCCGCTGGAGGTATATAAGCACTCAGTCCGCAACTTCAATACATGTGGGTCCAGGTGTAGAAAAGTTTAGATGACTCCTGGCTTATGAACATGCAGCTCGAGGGATTTATGGTCAGTTTAAATTCAGTTTTTATTAATGCTACGGGTCGCCCAGATGATCAATCTTCTGATTTTAATACTTTTTAACGCCTCAGTTTAAGAGTCCACTCATGTGTCTCCCTCCCACTGGTTCCATCCAGATCCTGTGGACCTTCTCCATCTTCCTGGAGGCGGTGGCCATAATGCCGCAGCTCTTCATGATCACAAAGACCGGCGAGGCCGAGTCCATCACCACCCACTACCTGTTCTTCCTCGGCCTCTACCGAGCCCTCTACATAGCCAACTGGGTGTGGCGCTACCACACCGAGGACTTCTTCGACCAGATCGCCGTGGTGTCCGGCGTGGTGCAGACCATTTTCTACTGCGACTTCTTCTACCTTTACGTCACAAGGGGTGAGTAGAGACTAGCAGTTAAAGCAAAACGTATCCTCAAACGTAGCTCAGGAAAAGTTTCCCTTCTCAAGTCCGCTTTGTTCTTCCTCTCTGTCCTCTGCCTTTCTGCAGTGCTCCGAGGAAGAGGAAAGATGAGCCTGCCGATGCCCATTTAAACCCGACACCTGTGCCCGCGACAGCTCCTGCGTCTGTTTTCAAGAACGGGACTTCTGGTCTGACGTCATTCTGTGGACCAAAGTGTGTGCACCTGATTTTTTTTTTTGGGCTGTGATTGGTACTTTGTGTGTGAGTCTGCATGCATACGTGCGCTGTTGTGGTCAAAAGTTTTGGGGGACGTATGTTTGTTTGTTTGTTTGTTTTTTCTTCAGAAGATGCAAATGTGACACTAGAAATTCGTCCCTGACGTGCACGTGGAACTCAAAATTCATGCAAGTGATTGACGCTATGGAAACTGTGTATTTCTCAGTACTTTGGGGCTTTGGCTCTGGAGACAGTTACAATGTTAAATCCACAAAATTGTACTTCAGGTAGATTGTATGTAGCTTCTGAGTTAAAAGCTGTAAAAGGTCCCACAGTTTCATGTCAAAGCGTCCTACACTCTATCCAATCACCGGCACATTTGACAAACTTCCATGACAAATATTGTAGTTTTTTTTTTTTTTTTCTTCTTTGAGATTTGTACTCTGAACTATTTAAGTCAAGTTAATTTTATTTATATAGCCCAATATCACTAATCACACATCTTCCATAAAGTGTCTTTCTCTGTGGTTGTGTAACGTCAGACACTCCCTGAATAGCTATAACTGCGTTCTATGCAAACAATGTCTTTCCTTATTGCCAAGTATGTTGACTTTTTTTTGTATTTCATCTTAATCGTCGTCTTTCATATTTCAATGTAATTCTTCATGGGAGGAAAAAAAAAAAAAGGGCTAAACATTCTGTCGTGTCTTAAATGAAGCCAAAGATGGAAAAGATAACTGTTCCAATGCTTTAGTCAAACAAATGCTGTTTTCTTTTCCTGGGTTGTTTCCTTGACCAAACTGTCTTTTTGTGTCGGGGGATGAAAAAAAATGGCAGTCAAGCGTGTGGAACTTCTGTAAAAGATAAATCAGTTTTTTAGTACAGTAAGATGAATTGCACATTATTTTTTATGACATTACCTTTATTATAACATGTGAGTTCTCTCAATTCAAAGGTGTGGCTTTGTTCTTTGTTACCAATCCACATGGACCGCAACAGACCAGGATGTTTACCTTAGGGTGTGCGCGCACACACACACACACACACACACATGCATTCTTATTTGACAGTATGGTTGGAAAGTGCTGCTGCATTACGTCACGGAACACATCACCCCCTCTATGTTGATCCAAGGTTTTACTACAATGAGGGATACTTGACTTTGTTCAATGAGGTGTCTTCAGGAAAGTTTTCCTGTGCTTGTATAACACCTTGCTTCCTTCCCTCACAGCTCCTCCCACCGCTTTTGCGGCCGAAGTGATGGAGAGCGGCGACGCTGCCAGAGCCGCTGCCCTCTCCACCACCTTCACCTTCCTCACAGCCTTCCCTTTCCCTTCCTCGTCCTTACCCATGATCCCTGCCCCCTCTGCGGCGCCTTTCCCCACCGCGGTCAGCAGCTCGCACCAGAAAAGCCTCTCTGCCCGTTTCCTGTCCTCTTCCTCCCTCCTCCTCTTCTCCAACTCTGGTCTCTGCTCCTCTGTGTTCCGAGCCTTCTTAGGGGACTCCACCTTGTGTCCTCTCTCTCCCAGAATCCTCTCTTGCGCCTCCCTGATGGCCCTCTCGGCCTCCTTGAACATCTCTTTGCTGTAGCAGCCGCCTCCATTGCTCGCCACGGTCTTGTCCACCTTCTTCAGGAGGTGTGCGACCTGCTGCGAGCACTCCGCTGTCTCGTCCCGGTCGCTGTTGTCAAAGACGTGATACCCTCCGTGGCAGCTGCCGACGAATTCTGACAGCTCGTCGCTCTCCCCCAGGAAGTCCTCGATGCGTTTGCCCCGCAGCCGGTCCCCCCCGGTGAACAGCACCATGGTGAACCTGGTGGCTCCGGGTCCAAACGTAGCCTTGATCCACTCCAAGGCGTCCCTCTCCTCCTGGGTGAACCTGCCGAGCTGCAGGGTCACCAAGAAGGCGTGGGGGCCCGGAGAGGACAGGACGACGCTCTGTCCCACCTCAGCCATGACCTCCTCGGGGGACAGTCGTGTGTGCAAGAAACCAGGAGTGTCAATCACGGAGATGCTCCGCCCGTGGACGGTCCCGGTCTGTCTCTCGCACCGCGTGGTGACGGAACAGGGGGAGACAGTGACCCAGAAGGCGGCCCTGCCCAGGATGGTGTTGCCTGAGGAGCTCCGGCCTGTTCCTGTCCTCCCCAGCAGGACGATCCTCAGGGGTTCAGCCTCTGATGAAGGGAGCGATGCTTCACAGACTGTGGCAGAATGACACGTCATAGTACATGTATATTATCATCATTATATAATAATGGAAACATCTGGCAGATATTCTAAAAAGGACATTTTACTTCAGACCATGTTTTGGGCTCTTAATTATGGGTTCCTTTATGTTATGTTATTTATATAGCATATATAACATTCCATACTGTTTTCTTTGTAATAGCCTGTAGTGCAAAGGCACAGTGCTGCTCTAGTCAGCGACTTGTGTGGCAATAACGGTAATCGACATACCTTTATGTGACGCAGCATTTTCAGATGACGACATCCTAACAGGAACTAGAAAAAAGTCCTTGGCTTTGCGGCTTTTTGGTGACGGGCATACAGGAGACGGATTCCGTATGTTTCCGCTGCGATTGAGACGTTTTCGTGCCTTTATTTGTCATTCAATCAGCGCATTTAAACCGCAGAGCGCATCGGTGCAGCTGCAGTCCGTGGAGGAGCAGAGAGGCGCTATACACCGCTCATATGATGACACCGTAGAGGAAAGTTACAACCGTTAATAAAACGGCTCTTTACCAATCCAGCGAACCACAATACTGATGTTACTGTTGCCATTGTAGTAATCACACAAGCAATGCGTTGCACAGATATTGATGATTTAGTATTGCAGTTCCTTGCTGTGACCGCTGGAGGGCAGTGGAGTCTCAGGTCAGCTCTGACTCCACGGAGCGTCAGACGCACACTCATATTTTCAGTGAAAACAAAACAATTCATTCAAAACAATAAAAAGATGCAGCTGTGTTTCTAATATCGACCTGCAGTGAGTCACAGAGGCCATAGAGGTTGTTCCATCAGAATATAACTCGTCAGATAACCATTCAATCATTACAACCATATAGTAATGAGTAATAATAATTAGTAATGGGAAAACTGAACCTGTGGCTGTTCATTTTAGAGAGAACAAATGATAACGTTCTGCTTCGATCTCCTAATCAGTGACTCTTTGATGTTGAAGAGCTGGCACTAAGTTAATTAGAAATGTAATGTATCACACTCCCTTGTCACATAAATGCTATTACAACGTGTATCTACTTGGTTTAGGCTAGTAATTAGGAACACAGCAGGGAGAGGACCCTCCACAGATTGCTCAGCTTGATTAAAACTAAATAATAATAAAAAAAATCTCCAAAATAGATATCATCAAAGTACCAGTAACAATGAGTTGTCTGGCCTTAACGAGTGCAACTGGCGAGTGAGAGGATGTCAATCAAACACATTCTGGACACGCCCACATGAAGAAGAGCGCTAATTAGGCAGAACAAGTGAAAACACCTGTGAAAGTGCCAGCAGGGCCTTGAAATGTGATGCTGAAAAGTACAGATTTGTAATTATTCCCTTTTTTTTCCACAGGAAATAGAAGACGTTTAGGAAAGGAAGCATGGAACGCTGAAGCAGTACGTGATTGCAGGCATTATTTAATAGGATTTTTAACAACAATAGTTTGGGCTGTTTCAACCCACTTAACAGTTGAATACATAATGACCATTCCTGATGTATTTATCTTATTCCTACCAAATATAATGACCCCTAATTAAAAAATAACCATTTGTGGACTTTTGTTTAAAGGCACTGAGCAGCATGGAAAAGCTATTCCGTTCTTTTAAACTGTACTCTATTCTTGTATTTTCAGTATGCCTGCTCAACCAGAAAAAACGACCAATTCCCAATCTTTCAAAAACATTTGTGAAGTCTGCGTGTTTCCTGACATGCAGGAGGAGGTAAAGATCCAGTAAATAAAGAGGCAACAATGTAAGGCCAAATCTCCTCCAAAGCAAAAAAAAAAAAAAGAACTGACATGAATGGGTGAATTAGAATGTTGTGCATTGTCCTTCGTTGCACTGTGTATGCTACATAGTAGGCAAATAATGGAAACTTGTGAGTACTTTTGAAAACCTCTGACTAGGCCTTTGTAGTGAAGGACAACAAAGAAGAAGAAAAATCATCTTCTACGTTCTTCTCACAACTGTAAGATGACGGCTTGAGTTTTTTTTTGCAGCACCCGCATTTTGTCTTTTCTTTCTTGTCTGATTTTGCATGTCGTCTCTCATACGATATCGAGGCTTCAGCTTGAAGTGGAACTTGAATATCGGAACTGGAAAGCTGGTAGGACCGACGGCAGTTAATGTAAAATCAACAGGATTATAAATCTTGCTGCTGTTTTGTTATGCCGAAAGTGCACACAGGTAAACCAAAAAGAAACGATTCAATGACATATTCAATATATAACAGTTTTTGAATTGTATGCATCTAATGAGTTTGTTTACTCGCTCCATCAAGCAGCAATGTTGCTTTATGCTGTAGTGAGTGATGGAGTTTCAAGTCATAACAACTACTACTACAGCTTAGTTTTTGCACATAATGAGCTCTAATGAACATTAGAAAAGACAAACCACAGGGCCACAAATGTGCAAATAACGTAAATCGTGTGTTAGATGAAGTCATATCTAGATGTCGCTTGAATTTTCCTCCACAGCAGTTGATGTTAACTGGACAGTTTGACACAAGTAAAAATGACATTTCCAAGCCCCAAAAAAAGTCTAACCAGGATTTTCTGTCTGTAAATTCACTGTGCTGCAGCCCACTGATTTGGTTTTGAGTTGATACAAGGTCGTAGAGGGCTGGTGTTTGAGTTGATATCAGGATGAACTGTCAGCTGGTCTGTCCCACTCCACCTGGCTTCTCAATGGAAAGCTCGCTCCCTTGCTGGGAACCTGCAGAGTCTCTGTATCCCCTGGAGAGAAGTCCCAGCTCAAACCAGGCACATCACCGCCTGTGGCATTCACTGTGGCATGGGAATTAGACATGTCTGTGTTCTCACAGTGAATCTCTATTACACTACTGCTGCTGCTGCTGCTGGTATAGAGCAGGTTGGGCTGTGACACACCACCAGCTGAATTCTCAAAGTCAAAGTAGGTGTTGCTTTCACCAATCCCCAGTCCGAAGCTCTCCAGCATATCCAATACTGACGGTGTGGACGGGCCACTGGGGATCTCCTCCTCAATCAGACTCAGCGTAGGCAGGATGTCCACCAACTCTGCCATCTCCATTGGCCGGATTACCTCAGTGATGCTGGGAGGAAAGTCCTGTTCCTCGCCGTAGGACTCCTGTGTTTCCAAAACTGTGTAGCTCACTTCAAACTGTGCGACAGCACCAGGCTCTAGTCCAGATTCCAATAAAGCGCTGGCACATCCTAATTCTGACTGGCCGAGGCTTGTCAAGTCTACAGTCGATTGGGCGGTGATGTCTACAGGGTATCCTCCCTTGGCGACACCCTCCATTAACAGCGTGGCCTCTTCGGGGACAACCATGATTCCTGACGGAGTGGCGACCTCAGCAGATACCACGTCTGATGGAATCCCACAAACTAAAGACTCTGGAAGGGAAATGGGAAGGCAAAAAGAACATTTTAAATCTTAATCCTCAAATTACTCAATCCTCAAACTCAAATGAATTCATATAGCAGCTAACACGCTAAACAAAAATGTATTCATATAGTACGTGCTTATCTACACACACACGCATCATTGTTTTACCTGCAATGAGTCTCTGTGCCTGTATGCGATGGGGCCACGTCAGTCTGGCAGTCAAGCTCCCCTCCTCTTCCTCACCATCAGGACATGGCGGCGGCTCTCCTCCCATCACCAGGCCAAGAGGCACCGCCCCAACCCACTGCTTGGACCGAACGCACTGCAGACAGTCCATAATCCAGCGGGCATCCCTCCACACCACATCCAGACGCTGAAGAGACGGGTAAATAACGTGCAATAAAGACACTGGAACAGTTGAATTAGCTAAAGTACAACCAAAATCAGATTTAGTCATCCCTTTTTACAGTCAAAAATGATGTCTACTGACAAATTTCCTACTGGTGATTATGTGAAATTCTCAAAATGTAATATATTTGGGCTGCTAACTTAATCAAAAACATTGATGGGTCGAGTAAAAGCCCTAATTTTCCATTAATTTCTCTCATTAAACCCATATTAATCACAGAGGAAGAGATGTATAAAAGGAAAAGCAGACAAAAAAAGCTTTGAGACAACCGCGGTGGATCGGTACGTCGTCCTGTCTCTGTACTGTATGTTTCACAAGTTGACGATCTTACATGGGAAAGCTCCGTGATGTGGTTCAGGCTCTCTCGGGCGTCCTGCACCTCCTTGGTGTCCAGCGCCTCCCGCAGAGCCTGCTGGGCCAGATGAGAGTCCAGCTCCAGCCTCACCCAGGCCTGGCAGTACTGGGACAGGAAGTCTCGTTCATAGGTCCAGAAGTGAACTGGTGATGAGCCAGAGTTGAGAGGGAAACACAAATCACTACAGAGAGAAAAAAAAGCCTCAGAACTCATTAGTGCTCTTTATCAAACATTTAGCGTGGGAATTTTTCAAAAAGGGTCAAGAGGAAAGATGGATTTAAATTAGAGACGAAATAAACTCTGAAGTATGGATGAAAAGGAGGATCAAAGGACTAATTAGATGAGGAAAAACAAAAGAAGTGACTCATCTTCAAAAGACCAACAGACATAATATACTTTCCAGTCAAACTGGCAATGGTTGAAGTGCATTTTATTTTGGGGGGTTATCTCAAATTCTTTACTTTAGTTCCATAGAAGATGAAACAACATATTGATCTTCAAGAAACAAAATGACTTCTGTCACCTTGTTCTTATGTGGTGCTGCTATTTTTGTCCACTCAGACGTCCCTGGACTATAAACTGAAAATGAAGGTTATCCTGCCAGTTATTTTATTATATCGTCAAGGTCCACAGTGGTCCCGGTTTGATGAAACACAGTTGTTGTTGTTTCATTTTTCAGCCTCGCTCCCCTGCCTTGTTGTGGGCGCTCTCTCTCTCTCAGCAATGCTTAAAAACACCGTGCTACTATTGTGAGAGAGATCTCCTATCTATGGACAGCTATAGCTCTCCACCTACCCAGCTCAAAGATCTGCAGGGGCATGGTGAGACCGGGCTCTTTTGTCCCCACCAGAGGCCAGTAACTGGAGCTGAAGTCCTCACTGGGAGGCAACAGCAGCAGCATGGACAGCTTGTCTCCAAACTGCAGCAGCTCCCGGGTGTACACGCCGTACTGATACGCCTGTCACAGACGCACAAAAGAAATGTCTGAATGTTTGTGAAAACCTGTTCATGTTGAACTGAACTTCACTATGCCTGCATTTACCCAGAAACCAATCCAGCCTAATGATAAAATACTGTAAACACAAACAAACCAAAGCGGTTTCAGAATTATCTTCTCCGTTCGAAACAATTAATACCACAATTCTTCAGACAGGAGAGCGTCAGAAAGCCTTTTCTTTACCCTGTAGAGGGGGATGTTGAGCTTTGTCAGGAGGTGTGCGACGGCCGCTCTCAGAGACATGATGAACTCCGCCAGCCCGCTGCTCTCCATGGCGCTCTCGTCCTCGCCGCTCAACAGGTTTGGAACGCTGCCGTTGGCTGTGGTGTAAACATGGCTCTGAAGCCATGCCCACTCCTCTCTGTCACACAGTGAGCATGCGGTTAACACGACATCACTGTAGAAGGTGTAATAAGTATATAGGATTGGATAGTTTTGCATATTGTGGCCCATTAACGACTAATTGCATTTACTTTATGTTCAGGCAGAGCCTTTCCCCAAAGCATTTTTGTCACATTTCTGGATTGATTTTTAATATATAGGGCAGCTGCATTGTTGGTGTAGACTTACTGGGAAAGTTTGCAGCCAAATAGCATCCTTTCTATGGCAGGAATTACCACATTTAGAATTTCTTTTTCTAAAGCAGCAACTGTGGCATGATATGCTTTGGAGAATGCTCGACAACAGCTTGTTAAAGCTACAACGTGGTCCTGGCACAGTAACACACATGTTCAGACTGCATTACCTGGAGACGTGGGCATTGTGTCGGACCCGTGTGTGGCAGAGTACATTGGGCAGCCTCTGGGGCACCAGGACCCTGATCTGTTCCACTGAGCTGCAGAGTTTCAGGATGCCGACGTATAGGCCCGGCTTGGCGCACTGAATGCTGTGCCTGTGGAGGGCTAGTTTCTCCTGGACAAACAGAGAGAAGCCGGTGCGGGGTTAGTGATTTTAAGAGATGTTAATAGGATAATGTGTTCAGATGCGGTTTTATTTGGCGTATCTAATTTTGTTTTGGGCTTTGCTGAATTAATCCCATTACATTTTTCAGGCACAAGAGAGAAAACCACGGCTCAACGATCAAAATCAGGAAAGTCGATATACTCGAACACTATACGCACTCAGTACTCATTACATTCTGTTACACTGCTCCATGATATTAGACCCTTTTCTGTGTGCCTCCCTTTTACACAAACCCAGGCTCACCCTGAGCTGATCGTACAGCATGTCCATGGCGGTGGGCTCAGGCAGCAGAGGAGTTCTGCTGCGGTTCTTCTCCAGACGAGCCAGGGGCATCCAGTGGAGCGGAGGGTCTGGAGGGCTTTGAGAGGCGCACACAACAAAGGGTTCAAATGAAATGCAACCACATGGAACCACCAATGAAAAAATGATTAGTTCATGTTGGTGTAACAAAGCCAGTACGACACCAAAAACCAACAGAGAGGCTGGATATCTTGAAAAGCTCATTCTGTATCTGTGCTAAGCGAGCCCAGCCTGTTGTCTGACTAGGATCTCATCTCCAAAAGGAGATTGAGATTTGTCTTCTTGATAAAGCCCAGCACATTGATTGACAAATGCTTTGTTTCATTGGATTAACAGGAGGAAACAAAGGATGCTTTCTTACCTGGGAGGGTTTGGGAACTCCTTCAGAGTCACCAGTAAGACGTTGCCCTGCCGGTCTTTCAGAGGTTCGTAGTACACCTGGCCCAGGTGCATTGTCCCCAGGGAAGACTGACGGCAGAGGGAGGTTGAGGTGTAAAACAGAAACATGCAGATGAATAAATGTGAGCATGTTGGGGATTAATGCAGTGAAACACACAAGTTCTGGCGGTACAGGTATGCAGCTTGAGATAGGGAAGCGAGGCACCAGAGAGAAAAGCACTGAGAGCAAGACAAAGGAGAGATATTAGGAGGTAATTTAAATAGCAATTAACCCATTTGGATGCCTCTCGTCGTGCTGTGCGTATGCGGCTTAACTTCCTACCTGCAGCTGGGAAACGGCTCTTAAGATGTTGTGCCTGTTCTGAAGGAGGGAGGAGGAAGATGAATGAGCGGAGGAAAGGGCCTGCTGGAGCCAGGGCACTTGTTGCCATGCACAGGACAACTACAAGGAAAAAAATACAATACATTTATCAACTGCGATTCGCACAGAAAATTCCACAGCCTTCATTCTGAATAATTACATCTGTGGAAATTGATAAATGAGACGATTGAAAAACAATTCACTGAACACATTTGTGTTAACCGTGTTCCAAAATGGAATTTACCTTGGCAAACCAAAGAAAGTCATGGGTGATGGAGGTGGAGCAGCACTGGATCTCCACCAGTGGGATTTGATCTTCAGCCGTCACCAGGATGTTTTCCTTGTGGTAGAACACAGTAGCCAAGTACACGCCCCTGAAACAATCAATGCAAAGACAGACCCAATGAAGGTAGGAAAATTCAGACCGCGCTGTCATCACCGTCGACTGTAAAGGACACTTCACCTCACGGCAACTTGTGCAGATGTTTGTGTCTTCATTAAAAAAGCCTTTTCCTTTAAGCCACCACCTTTCGAATGATCTATGTTGTGTTAAACCACTTTTTAAAAGCCACGCTGGGCTTCCTATTCTTGCAGTTACCCTTTCCTACTTGCCTTGTTTATCCACTGCCATCTCATGTAGTGAATGCGGTCTACTTAATACTTGTGGCAGCTGAAGCCTTGAGCTGCCACTTCCCACAGTTAAGTGATTTCAAACATCGCCCCGTTGTAAGTACCACTTCACTACTCTTGAGGCTACAGCAGCTTTAATGTGACTGTCGTTCTCCTTAATGACCGTAACAGGTAGGAGTTTGGACTTTGTAGAGTCTACGCTGTTGTGGTCGGGACACATTTCATCCGTTACTCCCCATACCCTCAAGGCTCAGTGGGACGGATGAGACAAATGGAGCGCTACCTCTGCAGGAGACGAACAAACTTGGTGGCGGACTGGAACAGTTGTTTGATGCCTCGAGACACAGACAGCCGCTTGCTGGGACTCTGGGGCTTAGAGCTCTCTGTGGAGCGGAGCAGAGGGAGGATGGGTCAGGATGAGAATCACTTTTTATCTGCCAAAGCACATTCACTGCGCACGCACGGCAATATTTGAATGGGTGAGGGTGGGGAGACGATGTCCTCTGCAGTGCATGCTGCTGAGACAAAAAGGTGTAGAATAAGAATACAATTCTTTAAAGTGAGCATATCAGGTCCTTACGAAACATCATAACAATAAAGGTTTGATGTTCTCAGTGTTCATTATGTTTTCTAATACATCAAATATCTTAATTAATACAAGTACAGCAGAAAATAAGGTCAAACTACCATGAAGAAATTCTGATTGCAAATCTCAGGTTGGGAAAACGACAAACATGCTGTCATACTGGGAGGAGAGATGTTTTTTAGTGCATGATAAAATAACGGATGAAAATTGGGACTTTGCTGCCATTTAATGCCAAAGGTGTATAAATTAGGACATGCAAATGGACCAACAATGTTTTTTCTTTTCTTTTCATTGTGATACAGTGATATAGTTTCATATATGGACTCCTATATGCTTGCTTCACAGCAGCTGCATATGCAAAGCCCCGGGTGTTACCTATGCAGAACCCCCTGTAATGTGGTTCTCTGGCGTCTTCCAGCAGTTTCCTCACAAGGCCCTCGTGATTTCTGAACTGTGACTTCACGCCGATGCACTCCCTCCAACCTGCAGGGAAGAAAGAGAGAAACTTTCAGGTTCTATGCAATCAGGGAATAATCATTAAAGACATCAAGAACTCATTTGCAGGAGAATCCTGAGGGCTGTTTTTGTTTTTGTTTTTCCGATCTTTGCGATTAGGAGAGCGAATGCGTGAGAGACAACCTGTGTGCCGGGACTTGTTTAAATGCTGATTCATCCCGAGCTGCTGACGTCTCCGTAAAAGTTAGAGTCGATGTTCAAGTCGAATTGTGTTACCTAACTGACACTGCAACATGTTGAGTATCACTGCTTTGGTTGTACTCTGACTATATATTTGCATTTGTATGAATATGTTTCCCTTTGTGTGGCAATTTTCCTTTCACAGTATGAAGTGGAAAGTAACAGTGAGTAATGCAGTGCGAGAGAGAGAGAGAGAAGATGGCATGCGAGAGAGATTATGAGGCCAATTCAAACTCAAAGCACAAGTACAAGGACCATTGACTCACACTGACATCTTTAATTCCACGTTTTTTTATATTTCATTAATCTGCCAGCCATGAGTGGAATCCACTTTTTCCACATCAAGCTTGACGTCCGCCAACTAATTTCATTACTCGAGGACAGAGAGGGAAAGAATGGAGCCCCTTCGGAGTGCTAAATCCGCATTCATCAAAGTTAGCAGTTCAGCATACTCACTGGAGGGGGCAGCGCTGACCGGAGTGGAGCACTGAGGCGGGCCCCATCCTTTCACGTTGTAGCAGCTCACTCTCACGAAGTAATGCGCTCCCTGCATTTGGAGAAGCACCAGACCGCCAAATTATCACCGTGCGTGTTAGTTAACCTTATAAAATCGTTTATTCCGAGACAAAGGGATCACATACTGCTGTCATTGTTAATTCATCTGATTCAGTAAGGCAGCCGAGTGGGATAAGTGCTCTCTTATGGGAAGTGGTTCAGCACAGTCCATGACGATTTGGGGCCCAATAAACACAGTCTGGGTGTAGGTCTGGAGCTAATGCGTGTGTGTGATTGCATGTCCCTAAACTATTTTCAGCATGTGCTAAAGCGCACTGTCTGACTTACTGCTGTGAGTCCCTTGATGCTGTAGGAAGGGTTCTTGGTCTCCGAGACTTGGGCTGAGCCGAGGATGCGTTTGAAGCTGGCTGAGGTGCACCATTCCACTGTGAACACAGAACAATCTCACTGACAGATTATTCTCTGGCTTTGCTCAAAGCCCCCATAGGGGAGAACTAAAGATTTGAGTGTTTACAGTTTCGGGAACTTGCTCATACCTGAGCATTAATCTACCCTTGGCGGCAAAGTATGAAACTTATGCAGCTGTAAAGCCAAGTAGCAAAAACAGAGAAGGCAAGTGAGCTCCACGACTACGAGGCTTTTATACCCTTCACCCCCTAAATGATGTGTGACACCTTGATTGTATTTATTTAACCATCCGGTGTCTCTTCATCTATAATATATTAATGTCTTGTTGTGCACCACCTACCTCTGTAGCGGGTGATGAGCCCAATGGTGTGACCTTCTGGCTCTTTGATTGTCACAAACAGAGAGGATGTGCTGGTCACCAGTATGGACACATGACTGGGAGGCCCGGGGAGCTCTGGTGTAAAACATTTAGACAGACCACTGTTCAGAATGAGCACTTCTTAGCTCTGAGAATACAAAATACAAAATACAACAACCACACTATATATATTCTGTGCTATTAGAATGTATGTTTTTATTTATATAGTAATAATAACCATCACACATATTTGGCTCCTGACATGTGTAGTTAGTGTTAGCTCTCAAAGGACAACCACAGATGAATAAATCATTTTTGTACTTTGGAAAAGAATCTCTGGCTCACTCCCAACATCCCCCCTAAGGCCTTAAACCCTGAAAAAAACTGGTAAATAGGTGAGTGTGAGAGACTGTAAGGGCTTGAATTGGTGTAGATACGAATGGGACAGCACTTTGCTGCAATATATCACGTTACCATGACAACGTAAAAGATGTTTTGTACAACTGTGGGTTTTTATTTTAACTGTCTACTCCCTGATTTGAACGTCTTCCAGGCTCTTTCCTCACAAGATGAGAGGTCATTTCCAAATAATCGATTTACTCGTTTTTGTCAAAACGGCTTCAATGACAAAATGAAAAGTTTGATGAATAAATCTTTTTACGTCTCCATGCTTCCACTGGTTACCCCGTGTTTAAAGTCACATTGCTATGAATTGTGGGTAATTCCCTTTACATTTAAATGCCGACTTTACGGAAAGGGTTCATAAAGGGCCCAAAATGTCTGCGAGAGAGCCCTCAAAGACTCGACTGATTTGACAGTGGGACAGCCTTAAACCCTCTCACGGACTTTGGGGGAGCGCGCCTCAAAGTCCGTGAGATTGGGGATTGAGATTGGGCCTCTGTGTCCTGGCCCTCAACCGAACCAACCAGTGTTGCAAGTAAAATCTACAGCTTCTCCCCCTCACAGCTGTGTGTTGCCCCAAGACACTGAGTCTCCACCAGCTCTGTGGGAGCTGATCTGTTGCAGAGCCTGCACTCTGACCTGCTTGCCTGTGAATGGAGCCAGTGAGCAGAGTTTCTCCCTACGGGAATCAGCAAACTATCTCAATACCACTGTAACGACCGTAACCCCGGCACCAGCTAAACATGAATTCCTGCAGTGTGATCACATGTGATTGTATCACATTTATATTTAACATTTGATGCTTTTAGCTGACACTCCTATCCAGAGAGTATTATTAATTTCAGTGCCTTATTGCCCTTACAATAACACCGTGATCATAAAACAGTTGGGGAGGAGAACTAAAAGTGTTTGAGAGATTAACGAAATGAGAGTTTAGGAGAAATATTTATACAGTCATTTAAGTAGGCGCAGAGGGGATCATCACATAATTCTATAAAACATGAGAGCTTGAAGCGATGGAGAGCCAGGAGAAAGACGACTTGAGCAGCGTGGTGCAGGGAAAGGAAAGAGGAGAGGAACATAAACTTAAAGCCTTGAAGGTATTCAAGGCGGAGTGTAGGTTTCTACGTGTGCATCCACCGGCACCAAGGTTTCAATTTCGATGCAAGCAGCCACTGGCAGCCGGTGGACAGAGTGTAGGGCAATGGGAGAATTTGGAAAGATTGATGACAAGGCAGTCTGTTGAAGTTTGGAATGGTTGAGAGGGGTTGGAGTGACTTTCTAGAGGGCAGCTAGGCGTCACAAGAGTCCAGACAGCAAATCAGTCAAACTGAAGCGAGAGGTAGGGCTGAATACCTGATCACTGCGGTGTTGTTGTCAGCTAGAAGTGATGAGGGGGAGCAAGAATAACAGTATTTCTAGCTAGAGGGGTCTGAAAAGACTAAAAATAAAATAGGCATGTGACCTAGTTTGTGTCCAAAGCTGTGCTTCACGAAATGCCACAAGCTGACCAAGGACCACTGACCTGTGTGTTGGAAGTTCTGTCTCATGCGGCAGTACAGCTGCAGCCGGAGGCTCCAGAGGCGGATGTGTCTGTGGACTTCGGCCCGTGCCTGAGGCCCTGCCCCCGCCTTCTCCAACAGCTCATTCTTCCTCTCCTCCACCCGTTTGCCCGCCAGTGCCACCAGAGCATCCAGCTTAAGGGCCCACTCTGCTGGTCGGCACACTGAGCGGAAACGCAGTCGAGAGGGAGCATGAATAGGATTTGCATTGAATTGAACCCATCCACTTCCAACAGAATGTCCATGATATTTCAAAAGCATGAGACTTACAAACAGGGTTATGTCTGGCCCCTGCCTTTGTCAACACATGGAGCAGAGGGGAATTGTGGGTAAGAGCAGCCACGTCCAGGGGGACCAGGCCCTGGTCGCTCACCCTGTTCACCCCCTTCTCCTTCTCCCAGTCCTTCTCCTTCTTCTCTCCTCGCTCCCTTGTGCTGCTCCCTCCTCCTCCTCCTCCTCCTCCTCCTCCTCCACAGTTGGTGTGTTCTCTAGACAGCAGGCTTTGTACGGCCAAAGTGTCCTCATTTTCCACTGCCTCCCACAGGGTCTTGTACTAATGGGGAGCCGGGTGAAGGGCCAACAGCCGGTGGGCGGGTGAGGGAGTGAGAAGGAAGGAAAGAATTCATATCGAACGAGAGATTTATTTCATGAGATAGAGTGAAGGGAGTTGCAGCGCATTGGAAAGAGGCAACGGGTGGATGCGGTAACAGAGGACACATAAATCAAACCATAAATCAGAGCAGCAGTCTCGCCTGGGATAATGTATTCACAGTTACACAGAGTCACCATGTAATGTCAAAATAAGGTCTCGTAAATTTTGATAAAGACAACCTGCCAGAGGATGGGAAAGCATTTCAGCCAAAGTGACCAGACCC